AACAATCTGGAATTCAAACATGACTAGGGTTTAATAAAAATAAAGACATCCCATACCTCACGAGCGTTGCAAAAAATGAAGGCCCGGCAGGAAACCCACTAAAGGGGCCGCACAAAAGTTAGGGCAAGATCTGCTAGGCAACCCATAAGCAAAATTGGGTAACCTAGGCAAAAGAATAGATCAAAAGAAAAATGTCCGCTAGGAAACACATCTCAAGTGACCTAGGCAAAAGTTAAGACGTTAAAGCAGTAACCTGGGTTGAAAACTGAAAGCCGGCTCAGGGGGATCATCTAAACAAAGCGCAACCCCGAGTCATCACTTCACTTTCCAAAAAGGCTAAAACACAATGATAGCTTCTTTGTAAAAAAATAGCCGAGCATGAGCCAAAGTGGTGTCAAACGACAACCCCAAGTAATTATATGTGCCCACTAAGCAAAGACATATCAACAGTGGAATAGAATGGAATTGACCAAACAAGCAAGTCTATAAGCATGAAGAGGCCACCACACCTTACTTCTTCACCAAATGAAAGATGATCCAAAAAATGGCAAGACTAGGAATGACTTCCTAACCAAAGTCAGGAGTGGCTTCCAAAATAATACTCATAAATAAAGATTGAGCAAATGACATCATCATGGGATGGGATCCCTCCACCAATGATGACAATAAAAGATAAAATAGAAAAAAGCAAGCTTCGTACATGTTGAAAAAGCCGAAACATTTAGAAAAATAGCAGAAAAAGGGAAGCTTCAAATATGAAAAAGCCGAAGCTAAACAAAGATACAAAATTCAAAAAAAAAACCACCACAAGAAGGCGCCTGGAGAGGCATCACAATACTCACATGGTATGGGCGACACTAGAATCCCTGTCACCCATCAACTCCTTTGCTCACCATCACAAGGGCACCACCTACCAGTAATCTTCGTCTTCATCAAACGTTCTCCCAAAGAAAAGGGGCAATCACATCATCATCATCAGCAGGTAGCCTGGAGAGGCCAAACATAATAATACTCAGCATTTACTCCTTTTCTCACCATCACAAGGGCACCCCCTACCAGTAATCTTCGTCTTCATCAAACGTTCTCCCAAAGAAAAGGGGCAATCACATCATCAGCATCAGCAGGCAGCCTGGAGAGGCTAGGCATAATAATACTCAGCATTCAGCAGACAGCCTGAAGAGGCCAGGCATAATAATACTCAACATCAGCAGGTAGCCTAGAGAGGCCAGGCATAATACTCACCATTCAGCAGGCAGCCTGGAGAGGCCAGGCATAATAATACTCACCGTTCAGTAGGCAGCCTGGAGAGGCCAGGCATAATAATATTCACCATTCAACAGGCAGCCTGGAGAGGCCAGGCATAACAATATTCAACATTAGCAAGCAGCCTGGAGAGGCCAGGCATAATAATACTCAACATTCAGCAGGCATCCTGGAGAGGCCAGGCATAATAATACTCACCGTTCAACAGGCAGCTTGGAGAGGCCAGGCATAATAATACTCATCATTCAGCAGGCAGCTTGGAGAGGCCAGGCATAATAATACTCACCATTCAGCAGGCGGCCTAGAGAGGCCAACCATAATAATACTCTCTCTTAAACAAGCTACAAATAAAGGGACACATTATCACAAGAGAAACAATGGAGCTTCTACTCGAAAATTGAAGATCAGGTGTACAGTTTGTCAACCTTGTTACCCAATAGAGTACGCAATCAATGCTTAACTGCTCTAAAGGGTGAGGATACGAGCAAATACACCTGTCCAAGGGAAGCAACGTAGAAGCATCAACACAGAGACGAGAAGAAGACCCAGACGAAATGTCTACGTCTTTACTTGCCTTTGGAAAAGCAACACAGCTACTCCAAAGGACAAGTAAAGAGGGGCAGCTGTAGATACAAACAACAAGATAGGACATCAAAGGGCCCAAAAGCCCGAATCAACTGTTTTTCATGGCCCGAAACAGACTATTCCAAAATCAAAACGGGTCGTTCCCAAGTCCGGAACGGATCGTTCTTGAATTGGAACGGGCTGTTCCGAGACTCCTAAAAGGCCTAAAAATTGTAGGTTGGAACAGGTCGTTCCAGACCAGAACGGGTTGTTCCAAACCAATCAAAGGGCCTAAAAAACTTGGTCTGGAATGGGTCGTTCCTAAACCAAAACGGGCCGTTCCAAAAGGTTAAAAGACCTAACAAACCTAGTTTGGAACGGGCCATTCTGGGAAGGGAATTTAGTGTTAATTTGTACCACGAAACGGGCCATTCTCATTTCAGAATGGGTCGTTCTAGTTTCGTGAATGGACCGTTCTGATTTCAGAACGGGCCGTTCTAGGGTGCAAAATTAACACATAACGTTTGGATCCGGAACGGGCCGTTCCGAATCAATAACGGGTCGTTCCAGCCCACATCTGATGCCTATAAATAGAAATCTCGAGCACAGGTCTCAAGGCTCCAAATTTCGTCCAGACTCCTTAGAGCTCGAAATTTCTCTCTTTTTTTCTCTCTCTCTTTTGTATTTCTTGAGATTTTGTGAGGCACATTGTAGTGTGAAAGGTTGCCACAAAGCACCTAAAATCTCCCTATTTTGAATATTTAATAGAGCTCATTCAAGAGGTATTTCAGTTAATCTCTTTCTCTCTTTTTTTTATTTCTTATCTATAATAAATATTGTTATAATAAAAATAATCATGTAGACATTTTAGGGTTAATTGTATAATTTAAATTTCAAACATGTAAATAGTTATTAATAAAGGGGATCTAATATTTAATTTATTAATTCTTATCACGTTAACTTCATCATAGGGTACCGATTGAGGGCACTGTAGGGGTGCTTAATACCTTCCTACACGTAACCGACCCCCGAACCCAATTCTGGTTATCAAGGCCATTATTGGATTCTTTTTTTAAAAACCTTTTCTTTTTCCAATGTTTTGAGTAAAACATTGGTGACGACTCCATGAACCTATTTTTTAAAATCATTAATTAAGGATTAGTCTGGTGTCCGGGCATTCCTTAATTGATGAGATTTTTAAAAGGATGTCTAAACTATAGGTCGCAAGATCGGAAATTTTCGGGTTGCGACAAGTGGCAAAGAAGTTGCCACGCCAATTTCAACTTCAAGTAATCTTGATTTGGATAAAAGAGGTACAACTATAAACACACCAAAGTATAAAGGTATAATTGGATCTCTATTATATCTAACAATTAATATACTTGATATAATGCTTGTTGTATGCTTATGTGCTAGATTTCAAGCTAATCCAAAAGATTCACATATGACTATTGTAAAGAGAATTCTAAAATATCTAAGAGAAAATATTGATGTTGGATTATGGTCTCCTGAGGGTGTCTCTCTAAGCTTAGTAGGATATTCAAATTCTAATCATGTTGAATGTAAATTAGATAGATAGAGTACTAGTGGCACTTTAATCTTTTGGGGAGTGCATTAGTTTTATGACATAGTAAGAAGTAAGCTTGTGTTGCTCTAAATACAGTTAAGGCTGAATACATAGTTGCTGGAAGTTGTTGTGCTTAACTTCTATGGATGAAACAACAACTAATGTACTATGGTGTAAGACTAGATAACATTCCTCTAAGGTCTAGTAATACTGGTGTTATAAATCTAACTAAGACTCATATCTTGCATTCTAGAACTAAACATATAGAGATAAAAACATCATTTTCTTAGAGACCATATTCAAAAAAGTGATTGCATAGCGTTGTTTATAGAAACAAGTAAACAATCAGTTAATATAATCACTAAGCCAATACCTAGAGATACATTTAATCTTCTTAGAAATGAACTAGGAATCTTAAGTGAATCATGCTTATATTGAGTAATGAATTGTTTGAAATATATTTATATTGTTTGTATCTTTTTATGCAAAATGACTTAATTGAATAATTGATTTGAGTATATTTGTGTGGAAATGTATGTTGAAGTGTTAGTTTTTCGAAATTGACTATTCCTTACTAGAATAATCGATTAAAGTAAGTTTTATTAAGAGGAAATGACATCCTTTTGGTTAATATTGTTTAGGGAGGTTTTATAAGGATTGAGTCAAGTTTTACGTATTTCTACTATGCTTACGCTTTTTCTATGAAATTGAAGAACCGACTAGAGAGTGGGAAGGAGATCATCCTGAAACTCTTCAATTTTCACCTAACATTCATCGAGGCAAAGAGAAATGAATATTCTTACTTTAGGGTGTGAGTTATCTACTGGGTAAAGAGATTGACCTGCAATCTTTGGTCTATTTAAGAATGCTTTGAGAGAGAAATCTCAATTAAGGATTGTATATTGTGAATGTGTTTTGTATGTGTCTTATGAATAATAATTGTGTTATATGCATGACGAATTTCACATAAATTAAATCAAGAGATAAATTATTTTATTTTGCACCAAGAGATAAATTGTTAAAGGACAATATTTATATTTATTAAGGAAGGAAAATTATTTTTAAAATAAGAAAAAAATAATAATGTAAAGTGAAGAAAGTCTTAATTGGATATCACCAGACTTTTGACATATTCTTAAAAAAATCCTGATTAATTCAATTGAATACTATCATATTTTAATATACTTTAAAAAAAATCATAATTATCTTAATTGACTTTTTTATATTAAAAAGAAATCTTGATCGAATAACATAAAACTTTTTTTACAATAAAAAAATATTTTAAAATCTTAATTTAATACATTTCTTTAGATTCCAACTACCCAACCTTATTAAAAGTATTATAGAAAAATCACAAATATTTTTTAGATGATAAATATACATGAAAAATTAATATTCTCAATTTTAAATTTTTAAAAAATAAAAATATTTCACATATAAAATTCTTGGGGAGTAATATCATTACCTTTGGATGGAGGTAACATAATTTACTTTAAAAGAAAAATTATAATTTATTTGTGTTAATTGATTTAAAGAAAGTTAAATAGGATTTTTTTAAGAGGGAATTTGGGTGTTTCAGGATATTTGAAAGAAAAAAATATTAAAAAAAAAAAAACTGAGTAAGCTAAGCACAAAAGGGTTCCTTTCCTTTAATGAAGTGCATCTTTTATTTGGGCTTCGTCTTCCTGATCCAATTCTTAGGGTTTTGAGAGTTGCGGTGTAAACTTCTTAGGATTGAAATGGCAGACGAAGCTAACAGAACTGTATTAACACTCTCTCTTTCGCTGTGTCTCCATATTCTAATTTTTTCTTATATATTCTCCTTTTGGTTTCTGTAACACTGTAACCATTTCTTTTCTTCCACAAATGCAGGCTTTCCTTGAAATTCAAGGTCGCATGATCGAGACCACTGGAAAATTAAAACAGGTTTCTCATACTCTCTCAATTCTTAATTATTTGAATTTTCACCAATCATCTTAATTAGGGCTCTTTCTATTCGGATGTATTTTCCCAAGCTTTGATTTTTTGGGGAAATCCTAGGACACTTCAAGTTCCTTTTCCGAGGATTTGTTTTGGGAAAATCGAATCTAGGTCCTTCCCCACTAACTAAACTTGTGTTGCCTACTCACTAACATCCGTGGGCTATTATTATTTTTATTATAATTTGAGCTGAATAATTGAATTTTATTCAAGGAGAGCAGTACCTTAATCAATTAGTGGATACATGTCAGCTACTAATTAGTAAAAGTAAAGGGTACCTAAGGAATTTTCATTTGACTCGAGTTTAGGAATTTTCAGGGTGGGATGGATCCTAATGGAAACGGATCCTGTTTAGTTTCATAAATTGATGGTGTTTTTCCACCATGTGTTTCTTGGCTCTGTTCTTAATGTTATGGTGGATTTAATTGATGTGCTTGGAATGGTTGTGATTTGATGCACAGAGATGCTATGACTAATATGTTGCTGACTCTGGGATTTAGGCTTAATTTGGATAATTTTTTCAATAAATACTTATAGGAAAAGAAAAATAAGAAGATAAATGAAATGAATCAAACCTTTTCCATGAGGTAATAAACTTATGCACTTCAACTTTTGCTAGAAGCTTTCTCATTTTACTTCTCCAAAAGTTGAACAAGCGTACAAATTGATTTTAACCTGTTAGAGAAGTTTGATTCATTTTGCCTCTTATTTCTTCTATAATAAGTACTTATTGAGAAGTTTACTGGACCATACTCTTAGGGCCTGTTTGGATAAACTTTTCTAGAAACACTTCTAAGAGAAAAAATAAGGAAAATAAAAATAAGCTTCTCCATAAGCTAAAATTAGCTTATGCATAAGATAAAACATTGTTTTCTTAGAGAAGTTAATAGGAGAGAGCTTCTACAAATTAACATATGCGTGAGCTAATTTTAGTTTATGGAGAAACTCATTTCATTTTTCCTTCCTTTTTTCCTATTCTAAAGACAAAAAACACTTTTAGAGAAGTTTACCCAAGCAGGCCTTTAATTGATGATTTACTGCATTCTATACTTCTGTGACTAATTCATTGCTGTGTTTGAAGTAGTACTACTTGTATGCGCTATCATCTCTGACATGAGAATACTTAGTACTGAAAGAGAACACATAATTTTGCATGTGGGAGTTACATGTTTATCAGGGGTTTCCTGAGAGTCTTGAAGTTTATATTATCCCTTGGCACATGCAGGTCCAAAATCAGATGCGTTCCAAAGAAGCAGAAAAAAAGCGTGCTTTTTTGACCATGGAGGAGCTGAAGCAGGTTCCTGATGATACTAATGTTTACAAATCCATTGGTATGTAAGAAAATCATAAGCACCTGTTACCACTTCTTTATTCCTTAAACAACCCTGCAAATTTGAATAATTGTATTGCTATTTGTATTTAGTGATGCCTTAGTTTTCTACAGACATATGATGACTCCATCTATTTTATTTTGCAGGGAGAATGTGAGTTGTGGTTACCTATTTGAACATGCTACTAAATAGAGTACACAAAAACTTGATTTTATGGGCTGTTTAAAAAATATAAATGACATACTTTAACACACTATTGACATAATGGCCAGGTTTGTATTGGAGACCAAGGCAACGTTAATGAATGAACAGGAGAACAAGTTCAAAGATGGTGAAGCTTCAATCACTACATTACAGGTACATGTCCTTCCTTCAATTGTATGAAAATTTCGTCTTCTATCATTTTAATGCTTATTTTTAATTTTCTAAAGTTAAAAAAAAGAAAGTTAGATTTCATAATTGAAACAAATTTAACTTTTGTAGTTAAATTCTGAATCCGTAAATGAGCTTCTATAATCTTTAAGTTAAAATCTCTTCTTATTTTATGGCTTTGAACAGAGCTCGAAAGAATACTTGGAAAAGCAAATGGCAGAGGTAGAAAATAATTTGCGAGAGCTGTTACAACAGGATCCTGGTCTTGCTCGGCAAATCATGTCTATGAATGTAGTGTAAATTTTTCATTAGTGAAACTAACTTGTAGTGGTGGGTTTTCTGATGCATTTGTGAAAATAGAAAAATCAGTATTTGTGAGAATATGTACTGTCTGCTCTATTGATGATTTTCCATCCTTCACAAAACGTTTGAGTGATTTTGCAAGTTATCTTGAAACTTTAATAGAAAAATTTCTACTTCATGACCAAGAATCCTGTTTAGCTGTGAGCAGAGTGTTTGTTATTGCAGACAATTTTTGTAGTGTTTATCTATGATATCGCTTTTGTTTTGAGGCCTTGCTGCATTAGGATGTAGCAGTTTGGTGACTAAGGATATTATAACTATTTGGAAAAACGGGGACAGAAATATAAACTATGAAAAAAGAATTAGGTTTAAACATCGTTCCTGAGAACTTAATTTATGACAGAACTCAAGGGGAACGTTTGATTTACAATCAACCTCGTTGTTGTTGTGGAATATCTAGTATACTTGGAATTTTATCTTCACAGTTTCAAGTCAGCAGAGTTTTAGGCTGCATTAGAAAAGAGTGCCGTGTTTTATAGAGATTGATGTTAATGTATATGTAGGGTCACTTTGGTTAAATTTCTTTAGACCAAATTTCTTTAGAAACGGTTTTAGGATAGAAAAATAAGAATAAAAGAAATAATTTTTTTATAACTTAAAATTAGGTTATACAAAAGTTAATTTGTATAACCACTTGGATTAACCTAATGGTTGGGGGAAAGGATTAAAGTAGAAGTAAGATGACCTAAATAATCATTGTTATAAATAAATAATGGTTGATTTATGAAATTATAGAATCCATTTTTTTTCTTCTTTTTGGTGTTTTGTAGAGATCGTTGTTGATGAATATGCAGTGCACATTTTTTTTTCTCTCCAGTTTTTCTAAAAAGAAAGCTGAACTTCTCAAGTAAAGTTTGAAAGTAGACAATTACAGTGTCCTAGTTTCCAAAAACAATCATATGAAACTTTAGATGACACCCAAAATGTTGGGATCTAAAATCTACGTATGTAGTGCTTTTTGTTGTTCTATCATCTAGTTGTCTAGATTATTTCTCATGGTACCTTTCTCAAAGGTAAACATGGCAAGTCATTTTCACAATTAACTATGATTTTAGTATGTTCCATAAAGACCCAAAACGACTCTTTCTTGTATTGTTGGAAGCTGACCAGTGCCAAGGAATTCAACTGATGAGGTTGACTGGTGGCAAATTGGCTGGTGAATTGGGATGCTAATGTATCGAAGGACTCAATGGTGGCATATTGCAGTGCACCAACTACAGACCTATACAAGGTAGGGTCATCAAACAGAGTTCCGGTTTTAGCAAGTTGCTGACCCCCAATCATAGGAGTGGAGATTCCCTTAGAGTCTTCCATTTTAACCTTGGTAAGAAGATCAGAAATATATTTGTGTTGAGACAACAGTAACCGGCCATCAGAAAGAGACTTGACTTCAATACCCAAGAAGTAGTCAAGTGTGCCAAGATCTTTAAGAGAAAAGATGGCATTGAGGTGATCAATGAATTTTTGCAATAAGGAGGATGAATTGCCAGTGAGGATAATATCATCCACATAAATGAGCATGTAGACAGTGGCAGATGGAGTAGAAAAAATAAACAAACTAGGATCACACTTGCTTTTGTGAAACCCAAGCTTCAGCAAAACAGAAGTCAATCTGTCAAACCAGGCACGAGGAGCCTGTTTGAGACCATAAAGAGACTTGTGGAGTTTACAGACAAGATGTTTGCTGTTGGGTTCAATAAAGCCAGGCGGCTGAGACATGTAAATATCTTCCTCAAGCATTCCATTGAGGAATGCATTACTAATGTCAAGTTGGCGAAGTGGCCATTGAAAAGTTACAGCAAGAGAGAGCACAATCTGGATGGTGACAGGCTTAACAACAGGAGAAAAGGTTTCAGAGAAATCAACACCAGGTTGCTGATGAAAACCCTTGACAACAAGTCGGGCTTTGTACTTGTTAATAGAGCCATCAGGATTTTCTTTAAGACGAAAAACCCATTTGCAACCAATGGGTTTTCTACCAGGAGGTAATTCAACTAAAGTCCAGGTGTGATTGGCATGTAAGGCAGTGAGTTCAGCTTGCATGGCAGAGAGCCAATAAGGATCAGTGAGAGCAAATTTGACAGTTTTGGGTTCAATATTAGACAGCAAGAGAGTAGGGTTAAGTCGAGGTTGTATAATCCCATTTTTTGAGCCATTTTTTGAGCGGGTGATCATGGGATGAGTATTAAGAGGTGGAACAGAAGGTGAATGTGAGGAGGATGAAGCAGTAGGGGAATTTGTAGAACTGTTGACTGGCGTAGAGGAGAGAAGAAAATTGGATTCAGAGGATCCAAAATTGGTGGTAGCAGCAGGTGATATGAGGGTAGAGGAAGATGGATTGTGTGAACAGACAAGGGAGGGAAGTATAGAGACAGAGGTGGCAGGGATAGAAGCAGGAGTTGCTGTAACGAAGAGGTCATGATAAGGAAATCTCCCTTCATTGAAGATCACATCCTTGCTGATGTATATACGGCCAGATCTGCTTAAACATTTGTAACCTTTATGAAGAGAAGAATATCCCAAGAATACACACTCCTCAGACCTAAGTTGAATCTTGTGTTGATTGTAAGGTCTTAGGAAGGGAAAACAAGAGCAACCAAAGACCTTTAGAAATGTATAGTCTGGATCCTTGTTATGAATTAGTTTGTAGGGTGACTGAAAACCAACAGAGGAGGAGGGAAGTCTGTTGATTAAGTAGGTAGCAGTTAAAAAGGCATGATCCCAAAAGTTTAGTGGTAAGGTCGAATGATGAAGCATTGCCAATCCAAGTTCAACTATGTGCCGGTGTCGTCGTTCAACAGTTCCATTTTGATGATGTGTATAAGGACAAGTGAGTCTGTGAAGAATGCCTTCTTGTTGGAAGAAGGATATTAAGGTGCGAAATTCACCTCCACCATCTGTTTGAACATACTTGAGAGGCAGTTGGAACTGTTTCTCAGCCTGGGCTTTAAAATTCTGAAAGTTGGAGAACACGTCTGATTTTCTACGAAGATAAATCCACACGTATTTGGTGCAAGCGTCAACACACGTTAGGAAATACAAATAACCACAGCTAGATTCTAAAGATGCTGGTCCCCAAACATCTAGAAAAACAAGTTCAAGTGGTTTGGAATAAATCGTAGTGGAAGGTTGAGAGGGAAGCCTGAGACTTTGCAATACAACATGTCACAAAAATCAGAAATTTTATTTACTGTAGGAAGACGAATATTACAAGTTTGTAGAGCTTTAGTTAGGGAATCATGGTGAGGATGCCCTAATCGTAAGTGCCACTGTTTATATGTATTGGGAACAACAGAATTACATTTTTCAGAAAAGAAAATACAAGGGTCAGATTTAGGAAAAACTAAATGCTGCTCAATATTAGTATTGGAATAGGTCTTCGTCGCCAGATGCGGATGAAAGTGATAGAGACCATCTTCACCAAGTGTCCCTTCAAGAAGAGTCTCGTTCAAATCCTGTGATTTGACAAAACAGGAATGAGGATAGAAAACGAAGTAGACATTGTTGTCTTTGGCAAATTTTGAAACACTTATAAGATTTTTGGTCAAAGAGGGAACAAGTAATAGGTCTTTGAGAGACAAAATTGTGGAGGGATGCATGGGGGACCGAAACATATTAGAACCTATTGAGGTAATGGATGTACCTTGGCCATTGGCCATTGCAATGTGCTCGGCACCAGTGAATTGAGCACTTTGCAGGAGATACTGAGGGTCCGGAGTGGCATGATGGGAGGCACCAGAATCCGGAATCCATGCAGTGGCAGTGTTTAGTGTAGGAGCAACATGTTGAGCAGCAGATGCAGATGCAGTATGTGGATGAGTTGGTGGGTTGACTGTTGCTGCAGGATAGGTGAACCCAGGAGGTTGAAAAACAGAACCAGGAAAGGAGCCACCCAAGGAATAGGGAGACCACGAGGCTGGACCAGAATGTCCAAGCATGTTAACAGTTCCATGATAAGGAACAGCAGCAGAGCCAGGGTGCTGAGACACATACCCATGTTGAGAATTGGGGCCATAGGTGGGGTAAGGAGTAAACAATGAATGAAAGGGTAACCGAAAACCACCCAAGGTTAGACTATGGGAAAGCTGATAACACGTGGAGGCTTCATGTCCACGTTTGTGACAAATCTGACATTGAACAGCAGACCCACGATTTCTTCCTCCACGAGATCCACGACCACGACCTCCATGATTATTGAAGCCAGCTTGAGGTTGAGGCGAAAAATTCTGAACAGGGTTAGGCTGAGGGTTTGTCATCTGAGACGGCTGAAAAGCCAAATTGACATTAGGGACACCAGTTGGAACAGAAGTGGCTTGAGCAAGGTTAATGGATAGGGGTTCTTGGATAGCAGCAACCTTTGCTTGTTCCAGTCTTGCTTCCTGAGCAAGAATCATGTTCTCGAGTTCAGCAGGGGAAAAATGATCATCACGACTGACAAATGCAGTGACTGTGGAAATTAGGGAATCATATTCTGGTGGAAGACCCCCAAGAATGCACTCAGCATGTTCACGAGGGGAAATGGGACTGCCAATAGAGGCAAGGGTCTCAACAATGGTGCTAATGCGAAGGAGGTAGTCGGAACACGATCTTGTTCCTTTCTTGATGGTGCGAAGCTCTAGTCGTAATTGCGTGGCTTTGATTTTGGTGAGGGACTAAAAATGCTGAAACACCAAATCCCAAATCTGGTAGGAATGACGGCACGAGACAACACGAGCTTGGATGGATTCAGATACGGTTGCAAGAAGCCAAGAAAACAACAGCGAATCTTTGCGGTCCCAGGCAGTATATTCAGGATTGACAGCATTGGCATCACGATCCTCAGCAGTAAGAAACTTCAAGGGAATTTTGGGGTTGACGACAAAGCGTTCAAGATCATGTGCACGGATGACAGCGGTAACTTGTTGCTGCCAGGTCATAAAATTTCTTTCATCCAGTTTACATGTGACGGATTGGGAGAAGGTGTGGGAAACAGAATTGTTGGACGTTGCGGAAGCGGAGGCCATTGGAGCAAGGTTGGAAGAGAATCATAGAGGAACCAAACACGACGAACAGAATTAGCGCGCGGTATATATATATTACATCAAAATTGATTTATATGAATAAGGTATCATATTATCTTGAAATAACA